CTGGAGAGGCTGATGATGTAGGGTTTGTCGGTGTAGCAACAGCGCAACTCAGCTGTGGAGTGAGACTGCGCCCAGCGCAGACGACGACCATTGTAAGCCGCCCTGTAGAACTCCTCGAAATGCGTGTTCACAGAGAGGAGATCCGAGGGCAGACTGAATTCGGTGGCATTCTTTAGGGAGATGGGCCATGCGCTGAGCTGGAGGGGGGAGGGGGGCAAAAATTGGAGACAGACAGGTGACTCATTGGGACACACTTGAAGACCCTAACATTTGCAGTCCATGTGCAAGGCAGGGCTAAAGACCTTGGTTCAGCTAAGGTTAGAACTTTGAGTGCATATCGAAATCGATTTTGCATGGTTACACGTAAATGGGGATGAGAAACAAGGCAGAAACAGTGTCCTACCTCACAAAGATGATGAACTGGAAACTTACACTCAAACAGAACACAGACGGCAGTGAACGGGACCAAAATATTGAGGTTACACGATACATCACACCAGCGGCACAAGTGGTGGTTGGAAGCCTAGATAAGTGTTTCGACAATATGCTGCCGCTGCATGACACAGAGACGAGGGGTCCGGTTCATTGGTGGTTATCCTAGTGTTCCCCGTCTTAAAATTGCCGATTTTTATCTGTTCAGAAATTAATCGCTAAACTGGAGTAAGTCTACAGACGCACACCGTGGGCTTTTAGTAAGTTCTTATGCTGTCGGTAGAGTGTATAATATAACTTTAATAGATACTGCGGTTGCATGATGGCAATAAAATTAATACTACGTAGTTATCCCACTGTGGCAACTGGACTTCAGTCCCAATATGCACATTAAATTTTGGTCTGCGTCTTAGTTTAGACCGAAGTACTACAAGTTAACGATTAAGTTCCACGAAAATTAAAAAGCGGAGTCAAAATAGCTTGTTCAGAAGGCAATATAGAACCAGTAGGGACGAATACAAACAGAACTTCCCATTTAAGAATCAGAGAAATAGTGAATAATACACAGACACTGAAGACCAGCCGTCGCGGAGAACACAACAGTTCGACCGTCAATTCCGACGATATCCACCGTGTGTTCCACAGCGTAGTGATGCAGGGACGATGACTTACGTGTGAAATAATAGCAGACTTGAAGAGCATTCACCAACGCAGCAAATCCCTCTCATAGAGTAGGACGACGGGACACGCATAAAATAAAATCACATAATGCTCAGACCCTAACTAAGGACCATAGGAGTTGCAATAGGCGGTTTAAGCCACAGATGACTTGTGGATCGTTAGGTCCAGACAGTCTTAATAAAACTTTAAGAACCTTACCAGTGGCATTCACTGTTTATTTAAAGCATCACTGACTAACGCATGTGCATAATTGGGACGAGAGAGAGGTACTCGGGACCAGCCTCGTCCTCAATTCTGGCACTTATAACCTCCGAGTGGAAAGATCTCTTTAAAATGGAACCAAGAAGGAAGCTTAAAGGACATGATTATTGGCTGGGGAAGGAACTACGTCGCACAAATCAACGTTCTTCCTTCTCTAAGAAGAGTCATTTGACATTCGAACTCCTTCCCTACGTGTGTTTCGGATTCCTCGACCATTAGCGTGTTCAAGAGACGCCTGCATAATTATATGTTACGAATCAACGTGAACATTCCAAGCCTTATCTAACAGGTTGCAGGGGTGACTACAAACACATTACTCCCTTGATTTCAATAAAACGTGTTTTTTTGACTAAGGTGAAAATTTCATAGCGCAAATGCAGTGAACATTTTGAACACTGTTATTTTACAAACGCCTCATCTTTTTACCAATCATATTTCATAATTATTTTTATGAATATTGTGTACTAATACGACCTGTAACAATATTTTGCAACGTACCGTTTCAACGTAGTTTTTAAAAGCTTTTGTCATTTACATCAAATATACTGATTGATTACACACATATACTGCTATCTCGGTTCACGAATTGGCCACGGATCTCACATCAATGAGTTCATGCAAACCCACATCGTAGAGTCATTGCGGTCTGACCCTTAACCTGAAGAACAAAGTTAAGCCAACAAATGAAAACCAGTACTGCAAGCACGCCGTGAGAGCTGAAAAATCGTGTCAGATTTATTTTATTACCTGAGTCGGCCTCATTCTCGCTTTCCGCACGCAGTATCTACTGCAGTAGATGTGCTAGTTCATGAAATGTCAACTAAAATTCTGAAATAAGTTTTCGCGTCGAAAAAACCTCATTTAACTACGGCTGTAATATTAATCTTCCTACAGATTAATCTCAGGATAGTTCAGGCAGGTCAGCATGCCGGTCTTCGAACGAGCAAAAAATATACTTTGCGTAGTATGGTTGATTTTCGATGCCCTCATAAATACAAATATATTGTGTAGAAAACATGCATAAAAATATTCCCTTTTAAGCTTACTCGGTAGCAAATAACGTCTTGCTGAAAGTTCCCATTCCAAGGGCGGGCATCTTTTGCGCCCCAGAATAATTTCGATCCCCAGTTGAACTTCTAAACTGGATGTTCTATGCCTTCCGTCTAATGCAAATTACACATCTATACGCTATTATAAAGACATCATATATAGGGCTCATAAAATTTTGCAGTGTTGTCGACCGTGTTTTTAACTATACAAGCAGTATAAAATAGATACGATGCTTCATGTACGGACATTTCAAGGTTTCGAAAATCTCATAATTAGAAACGTTTAAAAACCCGAAAAATTACCTTTCATTAAGTATACATTTCAAAGAAGACGTAATTATCTACCGAAGAAATATAATAAAGAATAAATTGTGCATGTTTTTTTTTAAGAAAATATATTTTCATTTATAAGGGCACTGGAAATCAATAGTAATAAGCCATACTACCTAAGTAGCCATCTCTTGCAGAGTGTGGTTTTCGCAGGTGGTCGAAAGGAAGCTCGTTAAAAAGCCAGCATCCTGGCGTGACCGGAATACCCGGAGATTATGCGGCACGATAATTAATGTTACAATCTTATTTAAATAATATTTTCTGATCGAAAGCATATTTTAGAATTTGGGTTAGGATTTCGTGATGCAGTATACCTACTGTACAGGCGAACAGATCTGACTTGTCACATTGAAAGTCGCCGATTTATGTTTCAACAAGGTTTAGAGACATCCTGGTATGCGTACTTTAGTCATTATGGCTGAAAATAAAGTGCAAACCAAAACTACAGAACGATTTTCTTCGAAATCGAGTTGTTTGTGAGGTACCAAGAAATACAAGGGACGCGGGAATGATCATCTACCAGTTATCAGCTAATCATAATTGCTTGAAAGACAAACACATTTGGTGGTTAATAAAAATGCTTCATTATAGAGAGTCATCGACTTACTGTTAAGACATCAAAGTGCGGTGTGAACCGGAACTGGAGGCCATGTTCACTGAGGTGGCGCTGGAAATTGGAATTCAGGTCTGGCGCCAACTGGATGTCATTGAACATGCGCTGGAATTTGCTTGTGAACTCGTAGCCGCAGACCTTATTTAACTGGTTTATTGCCGACTCCTCCATGTCGAGAAGAGCAGACGATCGGAATATAAGGCGATAGCACAGGTATCTTTGGTAGTGCTACAAAAGGAATGGAGGACAAAAAAACATAAAGTACTGGGTTAGATTGCATACACAGCAAGATCAAGCACGCCGG